GTCGGATAAGTCGCGGACCAAACCGCTGGAGACGTCTTCACTTTGAGAGACATTTATAAAGTGGCCTTTTGTACTGTACCAACCACTTTGTAATGATTTCGGCAAATCCACATGCAGTGACCTTTCTTCCGCCACAAAACACAGGGACAGTAGCTGATGGTCAATAGGCAGCAGAGTGACGATGTTTTAAAAAAACTGAAAGACTACATTGTTCCTGCTTCTGGATAATGTACCTTCAGTGAATAGATGTACTCTTAGGTGTGGAGACTCTACTGCTGCACATTTTTGCCATGTTCTGTATTGACCGTGTTAGACTACTTTGCAGTGTCATGTCAGTCACTAAATATTGATGCACTTTGTCTAAATCTCTCAGAGCTACTATTGTTACAGGAGCCAAAGGCAAATAACATTTACACCACGATATTAAAGGGTAAGGCTGGTGATATTCTATATTTTTGTTATTGTCATCAAGTGCCATGAAAAGACTTTGCCTCTCAATACTTTCCAAATTTCCTGAGCCTGCCTGTAACTTCTAGCTCCAAGAGCATTTGTTCCCGGTAATTTATTTTAAAACTGGCCATGTATATATACTCTTTATTTTAAAAGTTTGACTTGAGTACTGATTTTAAGGACTCGTGACTAGACTTGGACTTGAGGACTGATGACTCGGACTTGGAATCGAGCATTGACTGCATTCACACGCTGTTGTGTCACACGCAGTAAATGAACTCCCTTTGAAATGGTGACAGCTGTGTCATTTGTGTTTCGTGTAGAGTTTTTTTTTTTTATTTGTATGTCAAGCTCTTCGACTGTCCCAGGGTGGAGCACTGGAGCCCATCTTGGAACTTGACTCAGACTCAACCGTTAGGACTCGGGCTCAGGTAATGGAGACCTGAGTCGGACTCTCTCTCGGACTATCTTTGGTGACTCGGACATGGACTGGGACTCAAACACCGGGGACTCAAGACCCGACTTGTACTTGAGGTTTAGTGACTCAACTAAAACACTGCAATCAGGAGTAAGTACTTAACTTTTTAGGAACTATTTTTAGTCTTGGATTAATACAAGCTTGGCGCACTATTGAGTAAATATAGCAGCATTACAGTGTATGTAGGTTTGATTGTAAAATTACAGTTGCAACACTGATGTGTTTTCAGTTTCAGGACAAATCACTAACAAAGACCACTGCATTTAATTTAGCAAAATAGAAAGATAAAACTATTATTTACTGGAATGACAGGTGTAGTGGTCCCTGGCCACTTAGTCTTTGGAGCATCTTGGTTTTGACACACATTTCATTTAATTAAATCCAACTCTCTTGTGAATACAAAAAGGGAAGTCAAGTCCAGGAGGCAGGGATCATGTGAATGAGGGCATATTTGAAGATTTAGGTCACAACATCAAATCAGGAGATTGTAATCTAAAAATAGCAAAATAAAAAATAACCTTAGTATAATATACATAAACTATATGACTTACATTAATATCAAGACATGCATAGTATAACATGTGATAACAACCTGAACAGTTTACTAGTTACAAATACGTGGTTAAGTGTCAGGTAAGATGAATGGATGAATGAGGGTCAGGAACAGAGGGAGGAACACAGATAATATTTGTTAGTAGCAGGATGAGCACATTGTTGGTTTTTCATGGGTTTGTCTGACAATATGAAAAACACAGACAGAAACACCAGACTTATCCTTTAAAATGTGCGTTTGTAACTGAATGTACTAGAGATAGCCCACTTTTAACTGAAATACATTTGTACAACTGTGCTTTGTATCGCCAGTTGACTGGAGAAAATGTTTCTATGGATATTTACATGATGTTATTATATATTTTGCACTGTACAGGAACAACTTTTTTGTCTAGATGAACAGGGAGCAACGTGATGTAGCATAGGAATGCTTTCAAAGTGCTTTAAAACACACTGTTTTGTGTTTGTGCCAGATTTGAATATGTGACTTTCTCAGCTGTTCTATAATTTAACCAGAATAGCTGCTTTATTATTAAAGAAACAATTTCTTTTGGATGTATTTTATGCACATGTTTTTCCTCCTGTGAGCCACTTGCTGTTCTTTGGCAGTGTGATTAGCTATTAGTGGAATATGTGCAATAAAAGCTGTCAATTATAAAACTATTAAAAATATGAATGTTTCCACAGTAATGTCAATGAATCTAGATAATGCCCTTGGATTTAATTTGTAAGCTTGTAAATTGAATTCAAGCAGTTGCAGTTAAAAGTCTTGGACACTAAATGGCAAATGGAAATATTGTCAGCAATATTCAATATCTCAAATTGATGGATACAGGGACTTGAAAGGAAACATCATTCATTATTCTCTCAGAAATAAAACTATTCTTTGGGTTCCTCTTTCACCACCAGCCACTCACCTGTTTCTGCATTGTTTTGCTTCCATCTGCCTCACGGCCCTAATTCTATTGTAAATGATATGTGACATAAAAATTGACCGTGGTGTCACATGAACAGTCTCTCTTGCAGCAGCATTATTGCCAAGTGTAATTAAGGAGACGGGTCAAAGATCATTTTTGCAGATTAGTGATTCTGATTTACTCTGACTCAGTAATGACTCTGGCTTAATATGATACATGGGAACAGACCAACGCTAATTATTTGCAGCATTAAGTGAAGGAATCTCAATTTTTGTGGCTAACTCCACCATCACCACCAGCAGCACCTCTGAATTCGAGCAGTAAAAGCAGCTCAAGGTTGTACTGCCAGGCCTTGGCTATATTAACATATCATTCTAATTAACCCCAATCATCAGGAACTGATAAAGGAGAAACTGGCAATTAAAACTGCTGAAATGGAAAATGTATGCATGGCAAAGGTGGTATTTCACAGCTGCTTTAGTTCAAAATGACAACAACTGAGCAAGTGTCAACCAACTCTTTAAACTGTTTTCTATAGTGAGTCATCCTCAGACACTAAAGTGTAGTCACTGTATAAATGTATAATTAAGCCCAAGGAGAATTTCAAAACAGTTTACCTAACAGGAATGTGACCCAGCCAGCAAGTGCTGCATCAAGGGTAAACATGTGAACCCCTCCAAGCATTTAAGGCCACGGTGTAACTCTGAGAAAATAAATGAAATATAAAATTCAAGGAATTACAAAAAGGAATGGTTTAAATGTCACTCCACACATTAAAAAACCCTGACCTATTGTATCACTGTCTTTCCCCTGACTGAAGAAATCTACAGCCACCATGCTAGCAGCTCACAGTGGTGCTTTAAGCTAAATGCTAATGGCAACATACTAACATGTTATCAGTGAGAAAGCTAACACGCAGATATGAGCAGATATAAGCAGATATAATTCTCTTATTATGTTAGTCATCTTAGTTTAGCGGACCAGCATGCTAATGTTTGCTAATTAGTTAATTAAAACTCTACATACTTTTATGACAGAAGTTAGCACAAAAGTGATATCCTAGTCATTATGAAAACTGAATTAGAGCCTGACCTTTTGTATCATCCAGAAAAAAAGCAGCTTGTTTATATATATTTTTGACTGCTTCAATCTATTCCTTGCTGCAGGTTTTTTTGGTCGTACAGACTGGTTATTTTAACCATATACATTACCAGCTTCTTTCCTCTACCCCCCCCTTTTTTTCTCTGCTAAAACAATACACTCAGCCAATCCAACCAGAAGGTTTCCTGTCCATTCGGTTTCTGAGCCTTGCAATAATCTGCGTAATAAATGACTATGTTAAGGATCTAATTTATATTCCTGTTTTAGCTGAAGGATACAGTAGTAGTTCTTCTTTAACTCCAGCGTGCACCACCTTAAACTCACTACTCATTACACCCAGAGGGCCCAGCTAACTCTCAAGATACTCTATCCAGTCATGAACCCAGGGGTCCTGCGACTGCCTGCTTGCATGATGAATAATCATGCCTCCCATTATGCTAATATAGATCAGTTCAGCATGAAGGAGATAAGAGCATATTATTAGAGGAATGAGTAAAACAGCACTTGTAATGTAGGTAGCCATAGCAAAATTTTCTGAGTGATAGTGTCCAAGATCCTATTTTTTTCTTGCGAACAAGCTACCGTCACATCCAATAAGGATGCAAATTTCCCCAGGTTACGTGGTAACCTCTTGAGACAATCAAAGGTTTTGAATTATCTGACTATCATGGAAGTTATGATGAAAATCATTGTTCCATTTAGGAGAATTTTAAGGCTTAAAGGTCATATTTGCTGTCAGTTGCTGTTAGCAACACAGCAAACATTAACATTATGTTGAATCTTCCAATAGGATGAGGTAAAATTATGAAACTAGACCTCAAAGAGAAAAAAACATAAACAATAAGGTAGAGATAAAGTAAAGTAAAAAATAAAATAAAGTGCTCTAAACTTTGAGCTTAGCTTTATCTGTCCAGAGTATATTGTTCTGTCAGTACCACGTCTTATTACAGCTACACAACCTGCACAATACTCTTTGATTTGGTCAACCTATAGACTGTATATAAGTTACCACGCAGGTATCGTTAAGGGCGGGGTGTCAGCTTATTTGCCAAACAGTGTCATGTGACTGAAGAAGGCGCACTCCCATTAATCCAGGTAAGAGCAGAACAAAGCCGAGGGTACACGTGCACCTCAAGCAGGCCTACTTTTGATCCAGAGTCAAAACCTTCATCCAACAAAAAGTCAACCAGTAAATTATGAAGTTAAAGAAAAGGAAAAATATCCCCGCGTGCATCCCTGTTGGCCGAAATTAAAATTAAACCGCCATATTTGCTAAATCTACGTTCACATTTCCACATGTCCTCACTTCGCCTCACAGTCATTTCCTCTGTAATTTGATAGTGGACCGTAATGTGTGTAATAAAGTGGCTTTAAGGGAAGTTCACAGGGAATTTCTGCAGACTTGCGAAATTGAAACACACAAACACAGACAGCCACCCACACACACACACACACAGAGACACACACACACAGACACACACACACACACACCCTCTCGCTGCGTGTGTGAGGTGCCACATCGAAACGGAATATAAGTGTCGGAAAATGAGCATCATGCTGCTGATTCTGCTGCAGTTTGTGCTTGTGTCGTGTGCTCCTCCGCGGTGTGACCCAGGATTTCGAGGTGAAGTTTTCTCTACTTTCTATGATTTCATACTTTATTCTTGTGCGTGCATCCGGACCTGCTGCACGAGTTGGACATTGCATCTCTTCATGTGCAGGGTCTGGACGTTTCCAGATCCAGAAGCAGGATTTCATGCTGTAAAACTTTTGTGCTTTTGTGCAACTTTCGTAAACGTAAAGCTTCAAAATGAGTATGAATATGATGACTTGATGGCTTGTAGCTTGTCAGATGGTAATAATATTATAGATGAAACCATGCTTTTCAACCTCTATGATTTAAATTTATGATCATGTAAAAATGATACTTTGTTGACAGACAGGCATTTGAAAAAGCTGCTGAAGCAAGAGCAGAGGTTGATCATCAGACTACTTTATAGGCCACAGTGAGGCATTTATAAAAACCACTCTGCCATCTAGTGTCTGCCACAGTGTCAGCTAATGACATACTGATGTGTCTTGCAGGACAGTGCAAACCAACAGTGGAAGAAAAACGTAAGTATCCTTGGGCTCGGGGGAAGAGCGGTGTCATACATGGGCTGTTTGTCATCAAGCTTGCCTCATGTTGTAGCAGCTGATCCCATCTCTGAACTGTTTAAATCGTAAATGGCGTCTCCTCTTTGACTTCTGAACCTAATAGCTCTCAGTTTTTCTTTGTGGCTGTGACATTAGAGAAAGGTCAGGCCCTAAAGTCAACCCACCCTCCCTGACAGGTCAGATGACCATACAGTTCCACCCCTGTGGCTTAAGTTTGAGTCAGTGTTTTTAACAACAAAAAGGATGAGATCATAAGTCACACTGGGTGTAGTCTTAATGGAATCTGGCCTGAAAGCCATAAAACCATCATGTGTATTTTTAGATGATCAATGGCACTATGAAATATTCAAATTCTAATTTCCAGAGATAATAGAAATATTTGGAACTAGATGATTGAAGACGGCGCAGTGAAGCTCCTAAGTGTGTGATAGATGGAGATACAGACGATAACTTGATCCCTCGAAATAAGACTGGTAAAGTTAAGATTAATATGAGCTCTTTGTGACTATTCCCTAATGTTTCCTGCACTTTTTGACACTTCTGATAAACATTTAATTAGAAAATGTTCTTAAACTATCTGAATTTTATTTGGTTTACCTCAGCCAAATGCACAGATGTCCTACTGTCCTACTGCGATGACATGCCCTACACTCAGACCATGTTCCCAAACATCATCGGCCACAAGAGCCGTGAAGAGGCCGAGGCGGGTGCCGAGTATCTCCTCATAAGTGTGGTTGAGTCCCTGCTCGGTGGAGAGTGCAACCCTGAGATCCGCATGCTGGGCTGCTCGGTGTTGGCCCCGCGCTGCGAGAAGGAAAAGGTGCTGAAGCCGTGCCGCAGCACCTGTGAGGCGGTGCATAAAAAATGCAGCCATGCTTTCGAGGGGATAGAGATGGCCTGGCCTTACTTCCTGGACTGTGACCGCTTTTTTGTCAGTGACGAAGAAGGATGTTATGACCCACTGGAAGGCCTCAAAGGTGAGAGCTAAGCACAGTATCACTGTTATTGTGAACTAATCTCAGTTTATGGTTTTGATTAAGTCTACCCTCCATAAATATTTAAACTTCTGGTTTTCAGCTCTGACAGCTCTTTGTTCTGATCTGAAAGAGAAACACAAGCGTAGTCCTTTGAGTTTCAATAGAGCTTTTTTCCTCAACACGTTGTCTGCAGGCGTCTGGTTTGTACAAATGCTCATGTGGCTCACCTCAAAATAAAATCCAACTGGAACGCCTTATTTGCCCACATACACCCTCACTCAAACTTGAACCTGTGGCTATTTTCATGTGTTTTCATTAAGAGCCTAGCTTTTTAAACATTGTGTGGCAGTATTTTTGTTGTAAATTCTTAAAGTGAAAAACAGGTTTCCAAAATAGACATATAAAAATATCCTGCTGCTGCTCCCAATAGAAATCATGTGTGAGCCATATGAGAGCATGAACGTGTGCATAGACAGAACGTATTGATTTAAGCCTTTAGTGATGTCACTTTGGCATTTGTGTACAGTAAAATGTGTACATGATCATGAAAGTGTTAACGTCAACCAAATAAGTGAGCCATACTGTCTTAACCTGTGGCACTATAACAAAGTGCCTCAGTTTTTTATTGTTGTGCTAATTTTTTTTTCCGCCAAATAGAATGAGGTTCAGATGTCTGGCAGCAGGTCGGACCTGTGTAATTATTCCCATATTCATATTAATTATAAGCTGATGGTCGTTGCTGTTTTGGTATTATGTGACCTCAGGCTCTTCATACTGTACAGTATGTGTTGTTTCATTTACTTATACTGGTAAAGCAACGTGGAACAGCTTTCCATGACAGCAGGTTTCAATATAACAACAAAAGGACAGGTCTGCGTCAGAGGTTAAGAGCTGAAAAACAAGAAGTTGATTCATTGCTTTGTCATAGGATGGGAAATTACATTATGATAATTGTTACAGTTATTTTTCAGGCCAAAATGATCATTACCTGGTTCCAGCTTCTGAAATGTGTGTCATGTTTACTTTACTTTGTCTTATATGATAGTAAATTGAATATCTTTGGGTTGTGAACGGTGTTGGACAAAACAGGCACTTCGAAGATGTCACCCTGAGCTTCTGCAGTTTTCTTAAGGTTATTTTTCACTATATTCTGACATTTTACAGTCCAAACAATTAATTAAGGAATCAAATGACAGACTCATTGATAATGATAATGTTTGGTTACAGCTCACTTGAGTTGTCAGCTAGAAATGTTCCTTGTAAAAATCTATTAGATGTTTGTTATTGCTTTTTCAGATTTTTGTCTGCTTTGGTTTTTAACATTCTAGGTATGTTTGAAATGCTTAAAGTGTTCTCACTTTAAAGCTGCCCTAATCAATGTTTTACACTGATAATACATCACGTGACGCAGCGTAATATGGAAGGAGTAGCTCACAGTGACAAAACAAGACAACTTTTTCTGTTCCCCTCAGCTCTACAGAGCATTTTAGCCTCTTTCAGCTCATTGTTTTGGTTTTGCTTCACCTTCACTGCGTCTGTTTCAGCTGGAGCAGTGAGTGGCGTCTGGCTAGAGAACACGGCTGCGCATTTAGCAGCGAAATTTAGCCCGATTCTCCCCCCGTGAGTTGGTGGGGACCAAAGCAGAGCTAAGAGGAGAGTGAAGTTTGGATTTACAGTGGCCATGGTCCAGGTGGCCAGAAATAAGACTTTAAATGAATGCTAATGTTTTTGGTATTTTGGTAAGTGTTTAACACATCTACCAAACCAACTTTATGAGGTAATAATATTGAAATGTTGTGTTTACAGCTTGTTCTCGGCTTCTTTCCTCAAAAGAAAAAATAAAATAACTGAATCCAGCTTTAAATAACCTTTTGAAATACTTCAACAAGGAGGCATGGTTGCTGCCTGACAGATACAGTCTATTAGGTCATGTGACTCTGGCAGTATTACAGCTTAATGCGTTCCGTCTGGTTTTGGAGCTATTATTACTGGTTTCTGCTGATGTCAAAATAAGTTTGAATATTAAAATAAGGGCAGATGTCAGCAGGTTGAACAGTTTAATGTGTCCTCTGAAATGAGCACATTCGGCTCATCAGGCATTTGGTTGTATACTTTCCACACATTCTGTCTCATTTCTGCCGTGCATACCAGGGTCTACAGACATCCTATTTATACCCTGGCAGCGCTACAAGAATGGACACAGCGTTTTCATCAGAGAGATCTCAAAATGTGGAGCTGAAAGCTGAAATTACGCCGCTGAAAACTGATGAGACGTGTTTTTCTTTACAGCAGACCAAGATTTAGAGCCCTTTGACAGCATGGAGATGCTTCCTCCCGAGGAGTCCGCCACCTCGATGCAGTTCACCTATCACTCCAATGCCCAGATGATAAGTACCTTGAAGAAAACTGAGGAACAATGCTCCGACATAGCCAGAACCTACAGCATCGGACGCAGCATGGAGGGCAGGGAGCTGCTCGTGATCGAGTTCTCAAACAACCCCGGCCAACATGAACTGCGTGAGTAAAGCTCATCACCCTCTGTGTAAATTGTCTACACCCTCTTTCCTTATCAAGGAAGTTAGACCAGTTACTGTGAATGTGACCCTCTGTAGTCGAGCCAGAGATGAAGTACATTGGCAACATGCACGGAAATGAAGTCATGGGCCGGCAGGTGCTGATCTACTTGGCTCAGTACCTGTGCTCAGAGTATCTGCTGGGGAACGAGCGCATCCAGACCCTCATCAACACCACCCGCATCCACATTCTGCCCTCCATGAACCCGGACGGATACGAGGTGGCTGTTTCTGGAATCCAGGACAACAACTACGGTGATGATGAGGAGGTCAGTTCCCCATGGATACACACATCTATTTAAGTCGGGCTTTGGGAAACCAGCCACAGACACACAACACGAGGTTCATTCAGTAGCTGTTTGTGTTTTGAGATTTGTGTTTCATCTGTGAATTCCTCAGGGTCATCACTACGATACTTGGAACATCGGTCGAAACAACGCTCAGAACATCGACCTGAACAGAAACTTCCCTGATTTGACTTCCATCGCTTACAACCGACGCAAACAAAAGGGCCACCGCACCGACCACATCCCAATCCCAGACTATTACTGGTTTGGTAAGGTACAGTGTGAATCCTTATTCATATTCGTGAATTACATTTTATGGCGTAATGGGTGATATTGTAAAGGGAAGCCTTTTTAAAGCTGAATAAACTTGATTTGTTTCATTTCTTGGTCCGAATAAGTCTTAATGCTGCAATCTAGGTTGCGCCAGAGACGTATGCTGTCATGAAATGGATCCGCTCCATCCCGTTTGTGCTCTCTGCTAACTTCCACGGCGGGGACCTGGTGGTGTCGTACCCCTACGATCTGTCAAAACACCCGCTGGAGCGCAACATGTTATCCCCGGCGCCGGACGATCAGGTGAACGGGTTCCTCGAAAAACATCACCTTTAGAACTAGGATTTATTGACTTCATGCTCATGGGGTTTATTGTCACAGACTGTTTGATTAACAAAATTGAAATATATGATAACTGATGAAAAAACAATCACAAATATCATTCTGATGGATACAGAAAAGCAGTCAAATATATTCACATACTTTGATTATACTTGAGGTGGGAGGTAAGTGTTCTGTCAATCAGCTGTTCTGATGTTTTTGTGAATTAATTTGTCGTCCTTGTGTGAATTTACTCGTTGACTCCTTGACCCAATATTTAGATATTATAAAACCCCATTATAATAATATATACTTTTAATTTGATCTTTATTTAACCAGGATAGGAAGCAACAACAATGAGTTACAGACTGACAACATGATACAGTTGTCTGGTATCAAGATCTAAAGCTGAAAATCTAACTATATATATAACTATATATTTTCATTAACAAAAATCTTTCATAAAACCCTAGTTCGCCGTCATGCTCTGGCAGTGTGAGCGTGTGACTTGAAATGATGTTAAAGTAATGAAAAGAAAGGAGAAAAATAATGCACCAGTTTTTATTTTGTAGGTTTTCAAGTTTCTGGCCAGAGCATATGCAAACACCCACGAAACAATGTCCAATGAAAACGCCCAGTGTGGACCGTCTCGCGCTCACAGTCAGAAGGGAATCATTAATGGAGCGCAGTGGTCCAGCTTTGCAGGCGGTGAGTGGAATATTACGTGCCGCCACTAGAGGTCGCTGTATGACAAAGTATGATCCAAAATCAGGGACGCAGTGAGGAGGAGCTTTCCTGGAGGGGAAAGGTCAGCTCAACTCCTCATGGCTTTCTGGGTAAAGCAGTTTAGTCTCATCTCTGCTCAGGTATGCAAGACTTCAACTATCTTCACACCAACTGCTTTGAGGTGACTGTGGAGCTGGGTTGTGATAAATTCCCCCCCGAAGAGGAGCTGTCTCTCGGCTGGCACCAGAACCACGAGGCTTTGCTCACATTTATGGAGGCAGTAAGAACAAATCCTGATTCTGTTCACGATTAGCTTGTTCTTGTTGACGTATTAGTAGCATCTGGATTCATGGGAGCAAAGTATTCATACTTACTGGAGTTGATATTAAATGGGAGGGATTTTTTCTAAGATGACGTCTGAATAGATGCATATGAAATGTTGTTTTTTTTAATGAATGACTTGTGTTGTTCCTCAGGCTCATCTTGGTATCAAAGGCATCGTGAAAGATAAGGAGGGAAATGGAATAAAAGGTGCACGGATATCAGTCCAAAGAATACGCCATGATATTACCACAGGTGATCATTTTTATCTGCCAACAAGCTGCACCATCTTTTTTTTTTATACAGATTAATGCTTGTTGTATTAGATAAGGTTTGACATTAGTTTTGCTTCTAAGTCCATTTTTTATTTTTCTTAGTGCGAGTTCTTGTGGCGTACTCCAGTCACTTAATATCATAAAGTCAATGAACTTGTTACAGACTAATTTTAAAAGAATCATTGCAGCAAAAGCTGAAATAAAATATATTGACTTTTAGCTCAGTACGCGTCAAACAAACCCGCTGCATCTTAATGCACATTTCTCATAAGCAGTTTTTGTTTGTCACATTGCTGCGGGAGTTACTGTAAAAACCACTTTCTGGCTCTCTGTTTCTGCCGACACCCAATTGGTAATTACAACTAGGAAACTTTCTGAAAGCTCCGACATAGCGTCACATAGGCGAAAGTCTGTCGTTCAAGTTAATTAAAGCCAAATTTAATGGGTATAGTGCTTTTAAACCCTCAGACGGCCAACTGTGCAGTTCTACAGCCGTCTTGAGTTTTCTGAAGACGTGAACACTCACACGTGTACACGGCCGGATCTCGAGTGAGGGGTTTTGAAAGCATCTACTCGTCCCCTGAGAGCGCGCCTTTAAAACACTGTGTTCCTCTGCCTCCCCGCCCCCAGGTGAAAGTGGAGAATACTGGCGCCTCCTCATCCCTGGCATCTACATCGTGTCCGCCTCGGCCCCGGGCTACACCAGAGCCATGAAGAAAGTCTACCTGCCCCCTGGCATGCACACAGCGGGCCGAGTGGACTTTGTGTTGCCGAAAGCTGCGCAAGAGCCCGACATGCAGGAGGAGGACTCCACCATCCCATCATTGGACTCCTATGACCGCTTCGATCCCTATAACCAGTTCGAGCGCTACACCCTGATGGCTGATTTGAGCCACAACCGCGAGGAGAGAGCAGAGAAGCCCTGGTGGTGGAGCTACTTCGTCCTGCCAGGTGGACCCGCCCCCACCTGGCTGCTAAAACACTATTAGAGCTTTAATAAGAGAAGGGAAAGCAGCCTCTCTTCATGCAGTATACACACAAGCCAGGCTATCATTTAAAGGATGCGCTGCTTTTTTATTGTGGTTACACAGCAGAAAAGTGTAAAGCTAGCTGGCTGGCCTTCATGTTAGCTTTTTACCAACGAGTGTGTTCGTGAAATCAAAAAGTAAACACCTTTTATGTCTGTAAGCTTTTGCCTCGACAATCGAACGGCTTCAGTATTCAACCATGATGAAATGCAAAGTTGTTAAAGACTTATATTTGTATTTTCTAACAATTTTACATCATAAATAAAGAGTTTTATATGGTCACAATATGATTCCATCCAGCTACATACAACCTCATTTTCCTTCTAAACCTCATATTGAAGTTTACTCAGATCATTTTCCTATTCAATCCTGGTTCTATCAATTCATTTTCAGTAGGTAATGAACCAAAGTGACCACTAGAGGGCAGGCTATATCAACTTCTGGTTTCTCCAAGTTACCACAAACCACTGACGGTGTAGCATCTGTAGTATTAGCAGAAATACTATGGTGCAGGTGTGTCATGCGTATGATGCTGAGTCAGGAGTTTTGTAAATGGAGTGAAATGCTAGTCATCCAAAGGTGCAGTCTGTGGAAATGACTTTTAGCTTTCAGTTGCTGCTGTAAAGCTTCATTTTATGGTTAACTATACGGTGACTTAACTCCAGTGATTCTAAACTGAAATGGTCATGCATTCTGTATTAAAGCCATTTATGCAAGTAATCCCTTTACGGTTTAGTCCATATGATTAATCCAGTACAATCTGTGAAATTTTAGTCAGTTTACAATTATAAAATCACCTCCCACACACCTGAGAGGGAAGGATGGGATGTGCTGCAAATGTAAACCTAATTTATCAGCTTTACAGAGGAGCTAATCTTTACCTTAAATACTCCTCGGTAGAAAGCCTCTCTCACATGTCGTGACTTGTAAAGGCTCGTATGATATTTCTATAGCTGTAAAATGATTTCTAGAAAATATCCACAGACAATGGAGGAAGAAATATTTAGCTGGATAAACATTGGGATATTTATGATTGCAGAGTAGGGGTTTTATTGGCCTCTGTTGAAAAAGTGAGAGGTGTGGACTCAGACCAAGTCATCAGCATGAATTAGCTGTGCAGTGGAGGAAGTACTACCAACAGCAAAGTAGGAATGAGGAAGAGGATGAAAAAGAAGGTGCGAGTGTATTGTACTGCAGCCAGGCTACAGGAACTGCTGGATAGAATAGAAAACATAACAAAGAAGAACGTGAAGGATAAATGGCTGAGGCAAATTTGCCACACTTAGCTAAAAAACAACAACCACCGCAACAGCATGAATTCACCTAAGTACCAAACGGATAAAAGTTTGCCACAATAAAAAGCAGTGCAAAATGGAGTAAAGCATGCAAGAGCATTGCCAGCCCTGGGGTGTAGTGAAGTCCTAAATCTTGTAAACAAAACAGCTCTTCAGGATTTTGATGTAAGGTCATGAAAGAAGCATGGGAAAAGCAAATTACCCCAGATAAAGGTCGAGGAACACTATTACAGAATTATAGAAGAAAGTCTGGTTAGTGAACTACTTGACCCATGACAAAGTCAGTGAAAAAAAAAAAAAAAAAACAAGCTTCTCAGGGGATTTACAAAACACAAACACATGATTTGGCACCAAACTCAGTCAGCAAAACAGCGGAGGAGAAACCTCCATTTACAGTAGGTCTGCAAAACCCTGTATTACTGTCCCAGTAACTCATAACCCTGTGGTGGAGAGCTTTCAGTAAACTGTCAGATTAAAAGGCCTTTTTCCATCACATGCAAGTCTGCTCCAAATACTGTCATGGCTGGAAGGACGATCTCCCTAATAGTATTCACTGTATAATAATAGAGGGACTAGAACAGCTACAGTAGCCTTACAAAAGGCTCCTTGCCAAGATGAATGGTAACCTTCACCTACTCAGGCGAATGCACAGGTAACCTTGAATTACCTCTAGAGATATTCAGATTGTTCAATTCAATACTTCAGATACTTCTCAGCTTCCCTCTTGATTGGCCTTGGGTACTCTCACTCACTTTGGGGCTACTTTACAATGTCTGTCTTTTTCTTGCTTCGTTTGGATGCATACAGTTTTGCAATGAAGCCGCACATACTTGTATCTTAGACTCATTCGTAGTTATCAATGCAGAAGTGTTAAATGTTAAGTCATTGATTGATTCATGAAGTTAAGTGCATAAGATTTAAAAGCTACTACCAGGGTCTTAAAAACACGCTTAGGAATCAAATGATTTTAAATGAATTATAACACTGAGAGCATAGATCTGACACTAAGAGAACCGTAACATCTTAGGGTTACGCTCTGAACGATGTCTGACAGTTAAAGTTAATATAATTGGGTGAATGAAATATTTTAGTTTAGGTATGAGTATTTGTCAGTTTTTTCTTTTTTTTTAGGAATGTTGAAACTTGACATTAACGTCACAATACTCCCTCCCATAGAGGGTACAGAGTGACGGGACTGAAGTCTAAACCAAACCAAACACAGTGTCAAATAGGCCTGTACCGCTCTCTGCATGAAGGAAAGACTAGTTTGACTTGTCACATGCTCTTTAGCAAGCATACGACAATCCCATGCAGGATTGACCCTGTTTGCTTTTCTGGGGCCAGTTCCTTGAGCCGCCCATGTCAGGTGGGGTGCTGGGTCACCAATTACTTGGTGAGGCTGAGAAAGTAGCAGAGAGCTGCCCTGAGCTGCCATGTTGTATTAGCATCATGCTGCTGGCAAGTAGGTAAGTAACGCCTCATTTCAGTTCAGTGAGCCTGCTCTGCGTTCTCAAAGGAGCTTTAATACACTTATGTCCCGCCTCCAGATCAGTTTGTAACTATGACTATTTATGAACACTCAGTTCACCATGTGAATATAGTGTCACCAGGTGCCAGTATCACAGCGGGGGGGGGGCTTTTATTTTATACATTTTTAATACTCTCATTAGTATTTGACTGACACTTAAGAAATGAGGCTGTCAGTCTTTAATATTTTCCATCTTTCCCAGAATTGGTAAACCAAGTTGACATTCAGCTTTTGAATCAGAGTGCAATATGTAGTGTTACTTGAATTAAGCAAGCAAGCAAACTTTACTTATGTAGCATTTTTCCAAAAAAGAAAGTATTTAGAGGAGGAATATAAGAGAGACTGGGAAATGAAGGAACCAAATGTAGCATTATTTTCCTTTGTCTTGCTAACCAAAGAAGATTCACTTTAAAATTATGCAAATTCTCTTGAATTTTGGCCTTCACAAACTCGAGATGATGTAAAGATACCTAGGAATAAACAAATAGGTGCATCCTGGTGGCGCATGTCATCAACCAGTGATGTGTTTTAATATATGTTACCTATATGTTCCTGTCAGCATGGTATAAAGATTTATATATATGTGTGTATGTATTGTATGGCATGAAAGTGTTTACCTAACCTGCGGGTCAAGATAAATTGGAAAAGGTTGAGAATTGATGATGTCTGCTGGTAGTCTGTTTATTGATCCAGCAGCTGTAAAAGTTTTTTGTATGTTTTTCTCTACATTCTACTTGTCACGATCAAGAAAGACGCTTCAGTCTCAACAAAGTAAGTTCTGATCTAATCTTCAATGCGTGTATACTTATGAAAAGTTTAGATACTATAGACTTAAACTAATGCTGTCGCTGATTCTTGTTTCAACTATGATGTTTGAACCACAGCAAGTCATTCAGTTCATATACAAGTAACGAGGAGAGTCTCAAGAGCTGGCATTCTTTAGAGTAACATTTCAGGAGATCTGAATCTTCCTTCATTCATAACATTCACTGAGTTTTACTGCACACCGAGTGAAAACCTTGTCTCCAACATCACATGTTACTGCTGTCTGTGTGTGGATGTCACTCCATTCTCTTTTTATTGTCCTTACCAGGGAGATTCACTGAGCCCTGCCAAACTCTCATAATTACAAAAACAGCATTTCATTTCCCAATAATGGCTCAATGTCAAGTCCAATTCAGTCTGGTTGTTAAGCGGCAGCAATTACCGAATCGTACATGTGCAGACAACTCCTCCAGTGGGTGATAATAAGCTACTTTCTTTGTTACAGACCCTGAACAAACTCGAGGGGGAACACGTGAAGCAAAGATAATGCGACCAGTCGAGCGTGAGTGTGTACAAAACCCCACCAATCGTTCTTGTAGAAAACCCCTCAGCTATGACAAACGCAGGTCCAACTGGGTTAAGGTGATTCCACTTTAATAGTGCTGGGATCCCTAACCACAACAGAATCTAACAATAGAAAATACAGCTGCTCGTTTGTGGAAGTCACTTCCCTTTGAAAATAAGAGGCTGCGTCCAGGTTGATTGACTGCTGGTGTTTATGATCTTGGGAGGTACTTTGAGGATTTGAGAGTTTCTTTGTGGCGTTTTTTTCTGTTGGTTTGTTTGGGGTTTCCCCTTCAGCGTGACGGTCAGAGGTCACTGTACAACAAGGCCACACAGGCTTTAATTTGACCTGCAGGCTCTGAAAAAAAATCATGTTTGTTGACACGTTCTTCCACAGTTTGATTGTGTTCATTTGTTTTGATTTTTTTCTGTAACGCTCTGATACTCTCTTTAAAGAAAGGTTCAAAGGGGAGAACTGTTTGGAGATGGCATCTGCTCATTCAGCCTTGCCTGGTGGCACAGGGGCAGCACAGGCCCTTAAACATTCATTCATTTTTTAACACTGAACTCTGTCAAAATCATTTTGTGACGTGTACCAAAGTGTTGTAATGTTAAAGAAGAAATGCTTTCCAAAGTTGAATACTTCTCTCATCCGTGTGTGAGATGTATTTCTTACCATAAACAAGACCATTACAGCCATGATTGTCTCTTTGAGGCTGTACTTAAGCGCAGTGGTGATATGAGCTAAACGCTAAAAACAATGACAATGCTAACATGCTGTTATTTAGCATACACTGTTACGTGGTTCTCTAACTTGATCTAGCTTGTTAGCATGCTAACATTTGCTCCAAATTTAGCTCCAAATACAAAGTACAGCAGAGGCTCACGGGAATGCCCACAAGATTACCAATGTGATTACAAGTGATCCTGAGGGGGACATGATTGTCAACCTCATGATGGCAATTATGGAAAAGTCAGGGGGTCACCATTCTCGTTAGTATTCATCTTCTTCCACAAATGTCAGTATCACATTATATAGCAATCCATTTAGCAGTTGTTGAGATTTTTCAGTCTGGACCAAAGTGGATAAGGTCAAACAACCGACAGAACTGACTGACATTGC